GCAGGAGCCTTTGCAAGCTTTGAGACTGAAGCAGGGCTGATAAAGGAGATTAAACAAGCTGAGACCCTTTTGATGAACAAACTGAACCATCTTGGTGCTGGAAGAGTAGAGATATAGTTGATAGCTCTGATATACTGTCTGTGCTTGCCAGGAGAGCTATTTCCATTATTAGCCTAAAGGATGATGCATGCAATGAAAGTGAGTGACCAAATAGGAGTTCAGGTGAGATGAAGGTAGTGTGAGCGGGGAGCACCTCTTTATTACAATTCTCCAGATCACCCACTGTGGGTAATTACTTTGTCACCTCCTCGTCCTTTCTGCAAGGTTTCCTTTCCTGAGATTAGCAATGTGCATGCACAACAGTGGTCTGTATCTGACAGACAAAGACACACAAGTAGTGTGGTTAGTTTTAATTATTTTTCAGTGAAACATCCACATTAGATGCAGAATGGAGCTGATTTAAATTACAGCTTGCCTGAAAACTGTGATTGACCTGCAAAAAGGTCCTACCATGTTTAAAAGATGATTATACCGGAGGAAAATGTTGAATATTTTGCCAGACACTGAATATTAATTCTTATCCTAAATACCTAGTTTTCTGTGTGTGTGTGTGTGTGCGTGTGTGTGTGTGTGTGTGTGTGTGTAGTAACACATGCATATACAAGGATCTAGATTTTTTATTTATTTTACTATTTTTTAAATATCCTTTTTTCTCGGTAAATAATTTGTTTTATGAGTTTCCCATAATCTCAGTAGTCTTTTAATTGCAAAAATCTTTGCAATGAAGAGCAGCTAACCGGGGTTTTTTTGCATCTTAATAATTTTAATTTCAGCTTGAAATGTAAGTGAATTTTTTGTAAGTAATCTAGTGTACATATGGGATGTGTATATGTCGTGTGTGGAAGTCTGTCCCTTATTTTCACACTGTGGTGACATAGGACACTTGCTCAGTTCTGGCCCTGATACAATACACCTTCCTTCAATCTTTGTTATTACCACATCATATTTAATCTGCCCCTCTCCTTCTGGTTTTTGCCCAGTCATAAAACTAGAGATCTGTCTCTCAGCCATGCTGCTTTTTAAGATTACAGTTCAATCGCATTATTGTTGTGCCTTCTCCCTCCTTTCCTGCAGTAAAAAAGCCACTGAAGTATTTGCTTTAAAAATATAGAGCTTGTTCAAAGTGGTTTTGTTGTGGGTAAAATGACCTATTGATATCAAGCCATCTGGGGAAAGGGGTGTTTAACAAACATAGGGAAAAAAGCAGTGCACTCAGCAGGTTTGGGAGAATGGTATCAGATGTCTGCAAAGCAACTGTTCTTATGTTAACACTAGTGCTTCCTGGCTTTGAAGTGTCCTGTAAGTGCATGAAGTGTATTGACTAAAGTCTAGGGGGGTTTTGCACTTTCTATTTCACAGTGAAAGTTTCCATTATTTCTTTTATCATGTAACAGCCGTATCTAAATTCAGAAAATATTATCAACGGTTCCAGGAAGAAAAATCTTAATTCTCTCACAGAAAAGGAAATAAAGGCTAAAATAGGGGCTTTCAGGTATTACCAGAAGCATCCTACTGCTTCATAAAAAAATGTAATAGAAAAAGGAAGAAATTAAAAAGGGAATTTAGTATTGTGTGTGAATAAGGAATGGTGAGTTATGTTGTTTCCTGACAGATTTTGGTTTTGACAAAAATTCCACATATTTTGTTTATGAAGAGTGTTTTCTGCTGTTATAAAAGTTTCTGGCAGTGGATTTTAGCTCTTCCCTGAAGTACTTCGCCTGTCTGCAAGAGGACCTGGCTGTATGCACACAGCAAATACCTGGGGCATCTCCACTGTGCAAGCCATTCACCACTCCCTGCAGAACGGAGTGAAACCTAAAATTATTCACAGCCAGAGAGACTGAGGTCAGGATCCAGAGGTGTCTTTGAGGACATGCCCTTTATGGCCTCTATGCAGGATAACCTCACATCTCCTTACAGAAAACTGTACTTTGCAAATCTCAGCAAACTGTCATTTGATGATCTCAGCAAATAATGGCTTTGTCTGCAGTGCTTGGCTCTCCCCCTCCGTGTGGTGGATCCTGCTGCCAGGTGAAGTGGTATTGGCTGCCCTGGGTTTGTGCTGCTCAGGGTCAGATACTCCAATCTGCATGTCCAGGGTTGCATCTGGAGGGCATGGAAAGGAAGAAGTGTGGGCAGAGAGCACTGAGGAAAGACCAGAGAGTTGGGAATAAAACTTTCTGCAGCCTGGCCATCAATGTTTATGTGGGTGGCCTCTGGAAGGGACTGTTTCCCTAGACCTCATCCTGTTTTTTCCAAAGGGAAATTTCCCAGGCAGAGCTTCTGAGCAACCCCCCACTGATGAAATGGGGGGGATCAGTCACCAAGGCCTGGGAGCCAGTGGGGAGCTGGACTAGGAGATGGTAGAACTGTACATAGTAATAAAGCTCAAGATCTTTATTAAAGGTTTGCTACTGTTTGATCACTGCTAGTCAATATACCAACCTTTATCTGAGTAACCCTTTCCATAAAGTTTTAAAAATGAAAAAATAAAATAGCCAGCATCTAACCTGACAAACTGTGGGTCCAAAGCTAACCCAGGAGTTAGCTTATTCAAATCTAATGAACTGCCTCATTGTTTGAACAGTGCTGATAAGTTTTTGATAAAAGACCTTGTATTATTGCTTTTACACAGTTATATCGTCCTTGCAAAAGACAAATTGCTCAAAACAGAGGACAAATATATTTCCTTAGAAGCCTTTTCACAGAAAAAATATACAAAATTAATGAAATAAATGAAAAAGAAACACATAATAAACAAAAGAGTGACATTTATGTGCAGGAGACATATAAAAATTGCCTTTGCAATATAAAAGACATCTTGATTGTGAAATTGGCTACTGTTGGAATAGCACAATTTTAGTAATCTCTCTATCCCAAGCACAATATTTTATTCTTATTTTCCTTCAAATCCATCACTCAGTTTACTCAACTATAGGAGTTTTCACCAGCAAACATTGTACTGACTGTATCAGTAATTTATATCTGATAAGAAATGAAAATATTCATGGATTTCTGCAAACTATGTGCTGAAAATGTGGCACAGAATGATGAATAGCCCTGACTACCTGAAGGTATTTGTGTCTTCTGTTATCTTTAAAAGGACAGATTTTGGAAACACGTGACATCTAAATTTTTTACTTTGTTATAGTAGTCTTAAGTAGTGCAGTTCCTCTCTAGGAAATGAGAAAATATTCAGATACCAGTAATACCACAAACTCATGTTCCCCCATTCTCCTCTCCTGCAGATTAGGAGGTCTTCTGGTTACTGTGTATAGCCTCTGCTGGAATTAGTGAGTCTGACATGTATTTTTGCCTTTCCATTAAAATACTCGGCCTGGAAAACAAGTATTTGGAGAAATTAGGGGACTGCCTGGTCACTCGAGTTCTCCTTTCCCTGGAACAGACAGGTATGTGTGTAAGTCTTGCCCACACCGTGGTCAAATCCCCTTGCAAGCTGTGCAGGCTGCATCACTGTCTCTGCCCACCTGCAAATGCTGAATGCCATGGATTTGCCTGCTGTATTGCAGAATTTGCACTGGAATAGGACAGGGCAGGATGCATTTGGTCACTTTGCATTGTAGACAGTTTCTTCTTTTTATCTCACATAAAATAAAAAGGATATGCACTGTGTAACCCAAAGGCTGGATGTTGACAGAGGATGGATGATACCAAGATTGGAGCTGTGGCTCAGTCCTTACCTGCACTGCTTACCCAGAAGCACAGGAAGCTCTAGAGGTAGACCAGCTTTTGCTGCCTCCTGCAAATCCATCTGACTGTGGTGCTTTGTTCAACTGCTGCTGAATGGGGAGTTCCAGGACAGTTCTTATCTTTCTGAGTGCAATCATATTAAGAATAGTTCAGATCTTTCTCAGCACTCTGTCCAAATATTTTGTATGTACTGTAGCTTAGCAATGCCTCCCAGGAAATATTACTCTGCCAGTAGGCAAACAATTGCTTAGCTTGAAAGAAGTGTAATTATTTAAGGCATGCACAAATGTTTTTGGCTGCATGGTGACGTAACATTATTAACTGTGGGGGGAAAGCTAGCTAGCTCTTTTTTAGAAACTATATTACCATTGTCCTAAAATACAAAATTGCTGTAAGTCCTATTCTGACCAGAATTCCACATTTGCTCCTGATAGTAGATTGGATTTCAGAGCAGGATTAAGTAAATAAGTCATATTAAAATGACAAAATGGGTAAATAGAATATAATGTGAAATGAAATGTAAATTGGATTTAGGCAAACACTTTTATACAGACCTCCCGTCAAACCCTATCAGACTGCTTCAAATTCCTACTGTGATTTCTGCTTGCAGTTCTATTACATGTTGCCACTCAAGGGCATTTGATGTTTTCTCTCTCTGGAAATTCATTTGCATTTAAATGATTTGAAATAATCATAAAAGCCAAGTGCTATGAAGTTTGAAATTAGTTACTGTCTATAAATTGCGATGCCATTAAAAGATGATTTTGAAGAGCTTTGCTGTCTCAAATGTATGCAGATTAAAATCTAACAAAGTACACCTTGTTACAAAACTGTAAAGAATGGTGTGACATGGACTTAAATTGATTTATTCTCCTACTAGTGCCTATAAACTTTACATACTTGGGTTTCTTCTGGAAGTGGAAAAAAACCCTTTCATTTGCCTACCGAATCTGAGCCAAATTCTGTTCTCAGACGGGGTTTCATTGGGTGTATCTGACACCAGTGCTTGGCCCTCAGAGTTTAATCTATACGGTCTATTAAATTTCTGGAAATGCTGTATGAATAGTTGGGTCTCATAATTTTTTTATGGAGGGAATAAAGGAGTGGGATCAGGAACAATGGAGGCCATTTAAAGTTGGCAGTATGTGTATGCACATTTTTACCTGTATCTGTTCAGCTTTCCCCCTCTCCCTTGAATTTCAATGTTCTCCTGGTGGGTGTTCCTACAGGATCTTCTCTGTGAGGCAGCTGCTGCTCCTGGCATGTCACCGTGGAGCCAACCTGGCCTTCTTGCCTATGGAAAGGTAAAACCTGCCTAGGAGCACAAATACATTTTGAAATACTGAAGCCCCTTTTAAAAGAGAGCTCTTTTCTCCATTCACCTCCAGGAGAGCTTAGGCAAAATAGAGCTGTCACCTCATAAACTCGTCTTCTACTTCACCTCCCCTGGCACTATTCCACTTTTAACCTATTCCTGCCCTCTGCCTGTGAGACCTTGTTTGCAGTAAACTACCTAATATAAATTCCTACTCTCTCTTTGTTTATACCATTGGGATATTATAACTTAACATTTTTGGGTACCAACAGTACATTCCAAATATATTTTCCTATCTCCAAATCATTTTAAATGGACTTAACCACAAATATATGTACAACTATGTCTAGTTGTATAACTTGATCTTAAGATGTTTGTAATGAGGAAAGCGAAGTTGCCTTGTTTTATAGGTCTCAGAACCCAGGGATGGAATTACCTCTTTATAAACATATTTATGTGTGGGTTTTTTATTATTCAAAAGAAAGAATGAAGTATGTAGAACATATCTTAAAGGGCAAGAAAAGGTTTTGGTTTTGTACTTCCAGTCTAGTGGTTCAAAAATTCCTGATATCATTTATTTGAAGATAAAATTATCTGTACAATTCTTACAGTCTCTAGTACAAGAAAAATCCTGTATTTGTTTGTGTATGAGTCATAAAGCAAAGCAGCTGTCTTAATCACCTCTTTAATAAGCAACTTTTTTCTCTGAAATAGTCTCAGTGGTTAGTGCAAATTATCAGATAATCCTTCCTGATCAATCCTTAATGCAAATTCAGTCTGTGCACACTCGCGTGGGGACAATACCTGGTCTCTCAAGTAGGGTTTATGGTTGCTGCAGGGTCGGAGTAGTGATGGGGAGTGGGGGAAGTGAGACAGGAGTGAAGTGATAAGTTTAATGCATTATTATTTAGCATGCAGAGGCCCCTTATGTTGGTGTTCTGGTAGAGTCCTGACTGCCTTATTGGAAGGAAAATCCTTATATATTCACTGCACAGCTCAGGCTAAATAGCCCCAAACAAAGGACGAGTCTCTTCAGTTCTGATCATTCCCTGGAAAATCAGTTGGAGGACAATGGATTTTGCATAGAAAAGAAGAGGTGGGATATTTGCCCTGGGCAGGTTTTCATGGCAAAAATAATTTTGGCTTCTACATAGGTTTTGCTGAAAACCCCCTTGCCTGAATTATTGATCCAAGAGCAAGCATTCTTTCAGTCCCAGATGCTTTCATCTGAGCAGAACTACAGACTACCAGCATCTTTTGTTCATTGAAATGAGCTGGCCACAGCCATTTACTTTAGTCACTTTCCACAGGCTGCTTCAGGAGCTTGGAACAGAACAATTTTGTCCATATCCATGGAGGGAGAACCCTGGTGCAGCAGCACTGAAAAACTGGGGATAATCCCGGGAAGTGTGATCAGCGCCTGAAAGTGTGACAAAGTGCTGAGATGCAGCAGTAATTTGGACAGGGATGAGGGATGCACCTATTCACTGTTGAACTGATCCAAGTGGTTACTCCAGGTGCCTGCTTTTCCCTCATGAGAGAAAAAAATACTCTTGAGAACAGTGGATAGTCTGTTATTCAGTGGGAAATCCTTTTTAGCACACCCTATAGAAAAGTTGGAAAAGCTTTCGTTTGAGCACAGTCCTCCATCACAGCAGGGTTCACTTAAATAAATTAAAAGCTTATGAAAAAACAGTTTTTTTGGGATGCCTCTTTTACATATGTCCTTTTAAGAAAGACATCCAATAAATGAGCTATGGTCATTGATTCTGTCCTGCTTTAAATCAATATTCACAGACAACTGAAGAAAGTTTTGCAAATCATGTGGCTTTGAGAACTCTTACTATTCAAAACAAGTCCTGGAAAAAACAGATAAAAAATTACTCATAACTGCAGATGAAATTGTGGCAGAAGATTTAACTGAAAAATATAACATTTTATGAATTCAGGGCAAAACAATATTTCCCAGAACATATTGCAATCCGATCTCTGCAGATGTTATTGAAATAATGCAGAGTTTGATAAAAATACATAAATTATACTTTATTGTTGTGGATTATAAAATATGTTCTGAAAGGGATGGTAAGCACAACAGGCATTTTGCTTTATCTAGTTTGACAGCAATTCTTTGCCATTAAATGAAGAGGCATAACTTAATATGTGCAAAAGGCAGAGAAGGAAAGGGCCTAGACTGAAAACTTTCCAAAGGTAGGACTATCTGCTTGTGTGCTTGCACAGTGCTTAGCACAGAGACCCTTGAGTGTTCAGCACTCTCCCTGGTACAGACACTAACATAAATAGCAGGGGAAACTTTCTTCTTTGTTCAAAATTGTTAATGTTTGCTTTATATTTTCAAAGCCTTATGTTTTTGGAGAAAGCTTAAGTGCCCTTTTGGTTTCATCTGCCGTTTTTTCCTAACCACTCCCTACAGGCATTTTTTTAGCTCTGCTTTGACCTATGCTAAGAAACATAAAGTTTTGGCTCCCCAAACCTGTGTTAGCTCAATATTGCAGCTCAGACCTGTCACTGCACAAGATAGGTTTGAGGGCCAGAACTGCAGCACTGAATTTAAAACAGTGGGAGGTAACCCCATCTCCTGCTACTGCAATGACATTTTTAGTTTTAGGGCTTTTTCCCCTCAGGCAAACATTTCTAAATGTTCTGGAGTAGAAACTAACAGATGGGATTTCTTTAAAAAGATACAAACCACAGATTAGGGTTTCAATATGACTTTTTTTCTACCAAAGGTAGGTAATTAATGATTCAATGTGCAGCCACCATACACTTGAATTTAAGCTGCTAGAAATCTCATTTGTAACCATAAGAATGCAAAGGGACACAAAAAAACTTGATTTGTTTTTGTGGCTTTCCTGAGTTAAAATTAAACCTATTACCAAGAGCTGACAATGTAATATTGTTGCATTAAAGGCATGTTTATACTTTTTCATGCAGAATGTTTCCTGTGAATAATGACCTATAGAATTTGTGGTATTTTTTGAAGGCAGAGGTTTAAGTTATTATTCTACTGTTGCAATATCTGTTTGTAGCCACAGATGCTGTGCCTACTGCCTGTATATTGCCTCTACTGCCTGCAGTTTGCTACCCTGCTCACTGCTGTTAATGGGGATATTAGACATTCACTAGACAATACAGTTCCTTTTAGTTATCCAGCAGGAGACTGAATTTTGTGAACATGCTGATTCTGTCCCAGATTTATCTGTCTATAACTCAGCTCTCTTTGGACCTGGTGGGTTGCTTGTTGCACCTCTGTTCTCATTCATTTTCAAGTTGTCCTGTTACAAAGTTCCCAGCTCCCATTTAGTCAGCTGTAAACAGGAGGCAACTGCTCCAGAGGAAAACAGTGATATAATTAATACATTGATTTATATTTGTTTAATATAAACTGAAGAATAAATTTAAATAAAGGTGAAATACTTGGTTTCCTCTCTGGAACTTGCTCAATGCAGCAGAGAAGTATACTGGGGCAAAGAGTTATTCCTTCCTTGCAGAGACAAGAGCCCTGTGCCTCTTTTTGCACTGCCTCCAAGGAATGAAATGGCCTCCAAGAGCATGGTACTAGTCAGAAAAGCAGTAATAGGTTAAGTCTAGAAAGTATTTAACAATATGCTTAACTTTAAGCATTTTTTTCAGTCCCACCAGCCTTTAAAGGATTTAGCAAGGCACTTAACATCCTCTCTGAACACGGGTACTTTCCTGGAGCTGGCCTTAAGGAGGGAACTCGCTGCTTCCTTTGGCTGTGCAGCCTAATGCTCTGGGTTCTACCTCTTCTGCACCACCTCTGAGGAGCTGGAGAAGGATAAAGGCAAAGGGTTAAGTAATCCATTGTCAGCATACCTTTGCATACATCCTGGTCATCCCATGGCTGGTGGTTTCTCTCGTTCAGCCACCCTTGGATCTTGCCCAGTAAATGATGTGGAAGGTCTCACTTGGGGTCCCAGCAGGTGCCTCAGAGACCAGCACACACAGCACACCTCTGAAAACATGAAATAAGTGCAGGGAGGGGTCACTCAAAAGGCAGTGCAGGATTTCTAACTGCTTTCCTGTGTGGTTTTGGCCAGTGGTTTGTCCACTTCTAATTATGCTTTTACTGTCAATTTAAATTATAACGCTAGCAATATTTTCACATGATCTTTGCTTAGGGGGAAAGTAAGCAGAAGAGTGAACACTGATTAAGGAAAATTAAAGCAAATCTGTTTACTGATAATATATGTGGCAACACTGAGACAGGTAAATGGTACTTAGGGATTGCTCTCTGCTCATGTTTATGATCTTCAATATATTTGTGCATTTCTCATTTACTGCTCGGGCAAAGTTAGCATTTCCAAATTACATATGTATCATGAAAATTTTGGTCACAGCAAGCTTACAAATTCTGTCATTCAGTAGACCTACCATTCAGTACTTCTGAATGGGATTTTACTGGTCTCTGTTCTTGTTGGAGAATATACTAAAATTCAGATTAAAGATAAATGCATTCTTTATGCACTGGATTTTTTCATAGCTTCTTCCTCAGAGAAGCTCTTCTTTTCCTCATTTCATCTTGAAAGGTCATTTTAGGAACTAAAAAGGCCTGTTGCCAACTTTTAAAATAATTATGATCTCCAATAAAATGCCATCTATTTTTAACATTGTACTTTTTAATGTGTCTTTAAAAAAGACACAAGTAGATGACTTTCTCCATGAATAATTTATCACTTCAGAAACTTTGAATGCTATGACATAAATTATCAACTACTTTCCTACTGTTTGCTGATAAAGTGGGGGTGTTTTCCACACACTTTATAGTCAGATCATGTTTGGAGTCGGCTTCATTTTGTTGCTGTATTTGAATGATGACATTTCATCATAGTTTATGCCACTTAATAGCATAAAATGTCAGGAGGAAATGATCGTAACACTTCTGCAGGTGATAAGTATTCCCTGCCTCTACCCTGTGAAATAAACCATGGTGCACTCTGTAAAGTAAAAGCAGACATTGTGGCAAAAGTACTGGGATTAGGAACACAGGGTGTGCCTGGCTTGGCAGAGGAAACATATAGAATATACCTCTTAAAAAACAACTGTTGTCTTTGAAGGATTTCCAGGGATGGGCAATATTGATAAAAGTCAGAGAGAGCCCCCAAAGCTGTGTGCAGGTTTGAGCATGATGGTTGGACTTCAGGATTAATTTCTGGCTGAGTGACCAGAGCAGAGCATCCATGGGCAGTGCAGAAGTGTTTCAATATCCTCAGCTGGCGGGGTCAACAGCAGTGGTCATGTATTTAAACTGGTAATTCACACATGAAGCAGGAAAACACTGAAATATTTGAAAAAGAGAATGAGAAGAAAAATGAAGTGCATAGCTGAGACTGTATTGTGGCAGTAAAATATTCAGCTGGCTGAATGTGCTTTAGGAAATAGTGATGTTTAGGATGAAGAGAAGAAGAAAATTAGTGGAAGTGGAGAAAATGAGATAACATTTTTTTTTTAGGCAAGAAGCATATTAAAGCAAATAAAGAACTGGAGGGGGAGAGTCTGCTGGGACCTGGGGCTTAGCAGAGAAGTGGTAAAACAAATAGCAGAAGTTGGAGAGAATAAGAGAGATGGAAACTGAAAGGAGAAAATAGCCTCACATCACATGGAAGCAAAATACTGGAGGAGACCCTGGGGGACACTAGTATGGATTTATGTCCTGCAATTATAATTAGTGAAAATGAGGGGATAAAATGAGATTTTGACTATTTGGGAGAAAAGAACTATTTTCAAGTTTTAAAGTAAGTTTTATGTTGTCCTTGTCTGCTAATTGGTTTCTGAACTTCCTCATCCATTGCTTGTCCTTCCAGAAAGCACCTTATCTGTTACACACCCTGGGATGAACTGCCCTTGTCAGTGGAAGATACAGCAGGAAGAAAACTCCAGAGAAATTGCAAGATCCATTTGTAACAAACATAATAAATATCAATAAATTGCATGGTCAGGAATAGCACCTACATAAACAGGATTTGGCAACTGGAATGAGCATATTAAGCTATACTCATCAAATGATCAGATTTGCAGTGGGACAAGAATATTTATATTTTTTAAAATGCTTTATGGCTGTCAGATCCCTGGAAGAAGGTTATGGTTTACACTGAAAATTCATGAAGGAGTTGGACATGCAGAATGTGAACCATTGTCATAGTTGGAAATTCAGAAATGTATGAATCCTTTGGAGGGCTCTGGATGCTGCAAAACAGGCCCTACATTGGCCTTATAAAGCAACACTTGCAACATCTATATGCCTTTGGTAAGTAAGACAATGGAAATGTGAGGAATTTGTGTCCTTGAGTCCATGCATCTCGGGAATGTTTATAAGAGCAAACATTTATTAAGTTAGGATGGCTGTGTTTTAAAGATGTCTTGCAACTTGTTCTTACCTTGGAAATCACCCAGTCAAAATCATCAGGATTTTTTCGAACACCTAGTCATTGGATATTTTGCAAAAACAATCTAAGTAACTTTGGAGAATGGACAGTCTTGGATAACTCAGAAAAGGTGCCTGAATATTTCCAATATTTTACTACATATAATTCATTGTAGACTAGCAGCATTAATGTCAAATCCAACTAGTTGCACAATAATTGAGGATTCATAAAATGTTTCTCGGAATCACCATGTAATTACCACTGTCTCCAGTGGTGGTACAGGAAAATAATATGCAATATTTCAAGATATTTAATTAAGAAGTGTCAGTGAGTTACCTTGAAGATAACTTCTATCACCCCCCTATGACAGGCCTGTGTATGACTAGATGATGGATGAGTCCCCTCAGTATGAAAGACAGATGAACTGAAAAACATCAACGTGATATGCAGAACTCATTATAATGAAGTATATATAATTGTTGTTTACTCTTTAAAGGTGACCTACAAATACAATGCTTTATGGTTACTTTTCTTGTCTTCTTTATAATACAATAAAAAGTTCTAAAAACTTCTCGAATAGAAGTGGTACTTTTTTCTTTTCTTAGAAATTCTTCTCCATTTTAGTTTTTTCCCCAAAAACCTCTGATCCATGAAGGAAGCAACAGGTTTATGGTATCAGATATCAAGGAAAAAAAAAGATGTTTGTATGAAGGTAATTTCTTATATGGTCATCTTTGGATGTGGGAGCTTTTATGAATTCATGTGTGGTTCACTAGTAATGTCAGCAGCAAAACCCATCATCCCTGTCTGGGGAAAAAAAAAAAAAAAAATTGTTGAAAAAAACTTGTAGCCTTCACGATGAAAATGTGAGATCAGGGGAAAACAGAAAAGAGAATTTAAAGAAAGATGGGTCTCCTAATGGTTATTTCTGTCAAAGGAATTAAAGAACTACCACTTTTTATTAATGCTACTTAGCATAAACAGTGGTCTTTGTGTTCCTTGCTCAAACAAGTGCTCTCTTACCCTCTGTGGGCTGCATTACCTTACATTTTGACTAACTGCGGTATTTCTTGCTGTCACCACACAGCTGACTTGATCACAGCCTTTAGTTTGCGAATCCTTGCTTTTTACTCTGACTCTTGCTTACGAGCCCATTTTTCTTCTACTCTATCAGTGCCCTCCTCTGTGGACCCTAAGGTGATAATTACATTAGCTGTACTTCATCACAAGCTTGTTAGGGCTTGACAGTTGATTTTGGCTGACTATAATCAGCCTTGTCCCCACTTGTCATTGTCCCTTTGTGCAGTGGTTGAACATGACTCTTTCTACATTAGCAAGCGGTGTGCTCCATTAGGAGTGGATCTGCTGAGTGAAATAACCTGCACTGACCTCTGTGATACGTGTGGTTTTGGGCGCTCGGTGCTGCTTGCAGCCTGGTCCTGTAGGCTGGGTGCTCGTTAGTGCCTGAAGCACATCTTTGGGTTTGTTTCCATCTGAAAGAGGTTGGCTCCTGTGCTCTGAGACAGGTGTCCTGTGGAAAACACAGCACGTAAAGGGGAAATGGTTGGGAGATTAAAAAATGCATTTCTGATCATCAGTACTGATGAAGGGGCCTTTGCTGCTTGCTCATATACCTAGGGTAGTACTGCTTCAACTGGTCTAAAGTGAGATCAGATTCCTGGGGCTTCCCTGTGTTCTGGATTAAAAGGTAGGTGAAAATATTTTTGTGTTTTTTCTACAAGTAAATCTTCTTTTCCTCTGCTCATTTAGCAGAGGACAAAGGCTTTTTTTATGTGTGTGCATCTTGACAAAGTGTAATCTAGATTTATTCCCATGTGATTTATTCTCAGTGTGATATCCAGCTGAAAACCAGATGATCTCAAAACTAGAACAGGTGAATCTTCGTGTCCCTTCTACCTCTTCAAGATGGCTGGGGCCCTTTTTATTTCTTTAGTCATAAATTTGGACATGAAAAGGAGAATAATTGCATGAATCTACATTTTCTCTTTATAATTTCTTGCATGTCAAAGTACTTGATCTATATTGAAGTCCATGAGTTTTTCATCTTGGACTGTGTATATAATTAATTAAGTAATAATAATAATTATAAAATTAATAATAAAAAAGGATTTCATTAAATTCTGTCAGTGAGTATAAATTTAAAATAGACTAGTGGAGTTTGTTGAAAGATCCTACACATTAAGTAAGAATATTTGTGGCTGAGACATCTAATGAGTAAAATTGTGATTGAAGAAATTCTCCATTTATTTGAAGCAAGATTGAAAGCAAGGACAGAGCCTACTTTTTGCAGTTGTTGCAACCACCATAACTGGAAGTGCAGGAAATATCAGAGTTGGGAAGAATGGTTGTGGTGGGTTTGGCATTCATGGGTCACGGGTCATGGTGAGAGTAGAGCTGTGTCCATTCTGATTCTTTCACTGAGAAACTACTCATGAGAGGTCTTTGTTAAAACAGAATTTGGTTCAGAGGCCTTGGTTCATATCAGAGATCCCACAAAGGTGCTCAGAGCACAGTGCTGCTGTGTGAGAAGGCTCTCACAAGTGTGGTATTTGCTAATTTTTCAGTGCTTCTGAATGTGACCTTGTGCAAAACACATGCAAGCTGACTTTGAGTAAACTATTGTTTTATGGAAATGTGGCATCACTATTCTAAACTCTTTATTTATAATATCTTTCTTTCCTATTTCTTTTTCCTTTTCTTATTTGCAGGTCTTTTGTGGAATATCCATTATTTAATTTCTTTCATTCTGCTTTTTTTCCCCAAATGTTTTTTAAATAAAGCTCTTTTCTTGTTTCTGCACTGTAGGTCAAGACTAGAAGCAGCAATGATGCTTCTCTTTTTTCTAGTACAGATATATACTTGTGAAGACTCATAAAGAACTTTAATACCAATAAGCACAAGTAAAACTTGTTGACTGCACAGGAGGTAAATTTGCAGACAGAGTGAAAACATAAACAATTGTTATCATTGTTCCAAATCAAAAAAAGGTCAGCCCTATGTGAAAAGTTTATAGGCAACACACATCACAAAAGTACCTTGAAATGTTAGAAGTTAACAGCCAGATCTTCAGCTTTAAAAAAATGGTTTAATGGTTTTAACACCACTGATATTGCTGGAGATATGGCAATCCATACCAGACTGTCCTGGCCTTCTGATTTTTATTCTGCATTTTACACATAATTTTTGTCATCAATCTCCATTTATATCAATGACAATGCATATTTCACACAGTCAGAAGTAGACAAAGAGGTGCATTCATTGTTATAACTGATAAATTAGTGTCTTTGTTCAAACAACTTGCATTTACATTCACTGTTAGAGAAGGAAAAGCTTCTTAAAAATTTATAAGCTGACTATGCAGGTTAGCTTAAATGTGCAGTCATACAGTGTTGACTCAGAGTTATATTTAGGAGTGCTTTGCAAAACTAATGGAAAGTAGAGCATTTGTTCAACATCACAGACTTGCAAATGCTTGAGCTAAATATATGGTGAGCATTCAGTCACAGGCTCAAACAGTGTGCTCTGAGTGCTTTCTGTGCATTGACTGGTCTAATTTTGGACATAATTTTGTGTTTTATTCAAAACCAGACAAGGATGTGAGGAAAACATGGCCCTATGGGATACAGAAAAAAACTGAAACATAAAGCAAGCTTAACGCTCTGCTTCACTTTGTGTGCCTTATACAGCCACTTCTGGAAAGAGCACTCAGCTACCCAGGATCAAGTTCTCTCTGAGCTGCCTGTGAGATACCTCCAAAAGTTATACTGGGCATCCCCAGCCCATCTGACAGCAAAAGGATTTTAGTTTATCAATTATTTGTTCAGAAGCCTCCCCCAGTTCTTAGCAAACTGGGACCTGGACTTTCAAACCCAGAGATGTATTGTCTGAGTAAATGTGTAATTCATGTGTGTAAATGCACAGAGTACTCACATAAATCAGTTGCTCTCATCCACGGGTGACCAGACAGCTGCTTAACTGGCCATGTTCCCCTACAAATACCTTATTTAGAGACAAGAATTAGGCCTCCGTGATATATGGAAGTCATTGTATGCCCTTAAACTGATTAATGGGAAAATTCTTTTTCACCCTTTATTTGTTTCATGTTCTCCCATCTCCCTCTAACCTGTCCCAGGACATAAAACACTCTGAAATGACCACCCAGTCTTTCAGATTATAAATTCCTCTGGGTGGGAGAATTTGCTTTAAATGTTTTCTCCTGTGAGCCTGTTGTACTCTCCTGTGCTAGGGAAGTGCTTGAGTGCATGCCTGTAGCTCTCAGCAGGAGCAGTGTCCAGGGGCCAGAAAAGCACATGCCAGCCCCCCACCTGTCTGCAGAGGTGCTGTGCAGCCTGCAGACAACCACTGGTGCTGGAGGTGTCCTGGGGAGCTCGGTCCTCAGAGGTTGTGGTGGTACATGCTGAGCTTGTGCTGACAACAAAGACAATATTTGAGCTCTTCCTCACCCTTTGTAAAGGGTCCTTCTGTCACAGTGCACTGTTGAGGTAGAGGCCCATGCATTCTTGTTAATTGATTTCAGCTGGGAATAACATTTAGCCAGATCTAACCAATCTTTTTAAACATGACCAACTAATACCTGTCCATTTAGCACATCAAGTAGCTTTAAAGCCATTGAAGACTGAGATGAGTCCAGCTTCAGATGTTACTTGAAAATGAGTGATCAGTCCTGCCTGGGCACATGATTTTTCTGATATGTCATGAGAATGGCTGCAGAGTCCTTTTTGAATTGGTTATTTAGCCAGTGACTTGCTGGCATCTGAATCTGCCCAATTTCTAATGAATAATTTAAACCATGGGAAGCAGAAAGTGTGACTGAATTAAAATACAAAAAAAAGCTTGAAAATGCTTTCATGGTCCTTTTTCTTGCTTAAAACTTGATGATCAAACAAGAAAAAATTGTAGCTTATGATCACTTCACACTGTACAAGGAAGCAGCAGAGTTGCAATGTTGAGCTCACTGGGTTTATTCACTTTAAATGGCATCTCTTTGTAGCCAGTCAGGACAAAGCTATAGACATTAACAAGAAAATATTAAACATTAATTTTGTGTGTTTTCACTTGTCTTCAGAGAATCATTCTGTAAGCATTTTATCTTGCCAGATAGATTATATTCCACCACTGTGTATGAATTACCTGCTGCTCACCTATTAATCCTGCTTTTCTGTTTCCTTTTCAGCCAGTCTGAGAGGTGCAGAGATTCCGAGTCCAGAGCAATGTTGGAATACAATGTTGGAGTGTTTTCTGAAGTTAATAATGTATGTCAGTGCTCTGAGGCTAAGTTAGGATAGTTCAAGATTTCTGCAGTAACCTTTGTTGTGAAGAGAAGGATTGCCAGACTTGGGGTTTAGGTTGCAAGTTAATGGGCAGTGGGGGGCACAGGAAGAACAGTGTCTCTCTCATCTCTGAAGCACCACATCCTGGTGGTAGCAGATGGCTGGATGCTGGGATCAAAGAAATCATGTTCTCTTCAGCTGTGATAAATTGTAACACTGCTTGCTGACTTCCATGTTTATGATCATGGGTGAATTTGATATATTTCTATAGAAAGAAGTCCAGAAAAGTATATTTTCTGTACAGTGATGAAGACAGTTATCATCCTGGCTAAAATACATGTGCTCAAGGTTGTAAACACAGTGAGCAAGTGCAGTAACTGCTGGGTTAGATGTGGCTGTCATTGCTCTTAGGAGTAGAGGTGTTCCTTTGCTTATGTTGTGGGTGAGTGAGTGAGGTTTGTGCAGCCCATCCCTTCATAAGGCAAGAGGTTACTCTCATTCAGGTGGGGAGAGGTTCCCTTGTGCCTTGTGGTAAAGGATAAGCAGCTGGGAACACTAACCACAAACCAGTGCTTTTTTGTTTGCTGGCTATTTGCAGTTATCCAGCTTTTTCAAACTAACTTATAAATGTTTTGCAGGGCAATTTATAAAAATTGCTTGCTTTGATGTATGATGGGGGACACTTCATAGACTGAATGTTTACTCCTATACTTTCTCGGGGCAGTAGGTATTTAGCAGCTTAACTGTGCAAAAATGTGTATTTAATCCCGCCCACAAAAGCCATTCAGTCGTAAATACCTCTAGGTTTTTGAGTACAGAATTTGAAACATGAAGTAACCAGAGTCCGCATTCCATATGTGAATGTAAGAAGTCGGCAAGAGGCATTTCTTGAGCATGCCATGTTCAGAGGGAGGTCATTTAGGCAAATGGCCATGACTCAGCTAGCACTGAATTAAACAGCTTCCAAAGAGCACTTACCCTCCAGAAACAGAGGGTAAACAGACCTAAGCCATAGTTGAAAATGTGTGTAGCCAACACTTATTTCATTCCACCACTGCTAACCCAGGAATAGCAGAGACAATGACTGAGGGTGCATGTACAGCAATAAAATTTCCTATTTCTTGACTTGGTGTTCTGCAACAGCTTTTCATTCTTTTTTTCTTTTGTTCCCCGGGAATTTATTGTTTGAAAAATGCTTTGTGTAACTATGATTTCTTCTAGAGGATCATCAGGAAGACCTGTAAGCTGTTTCCTGACAGGAGATTGAAAGAGAAGAGAAAATGAGCTGTTAACAAGAATGCTGCCTGCTGTCTGACTTGTCCTAATTCATGAAGGGACATAAAGCTTAGACAAAAATTTATGGTGCCTTAATCCTGGGAATGACTCAGTTGTTTAACAGCATGTTTGTGTCCACACAAGCATAGCATCTGGGCTGAACCAGAGCATCCACTGGAGCACTTCCATGGGTGGATAGGGGCTCTTCAGGAATGACCATCCAGGGGGATGGAGTGAGTTCTGTCTGATGGCAGCAGGGATGCACAGAGCTCTGCCCTGGAATGGATGAGGACACAGCTCAGAACTTGCAAGTTCAGATCAGCAGGAGTAATAATGTGGGTGTTTTTTGAGCAGGGTACCTGCTGCTGCCAGACTGACCAGGAAGAACAGATGAACCTTTCTGCAGACAGCTGGAAAAAGTCCCCTGGTCCTCACAGGGGCCTCCAACCACTGATACCTGCTGGAAAAGACACAACAAACCACAAGTGATCTGGGAGGTTCCTGCAGCAGAGGGACAATGCTGCAGAATTCCTGACATGGGTGGTAGAAAAGCCAACAAAGTGAAACACTCTGACAGACATTATACTTACCAACATGAACGTTGTGGGCAGGCTTGGCTTCAGCGACCATGAGCTGTGGTATTCAGTGTCCTGAGAGGTGGGAGAAGTGCCAAGATTAGTATCACAATTCTGAACTTCAGAACAGACTTTGTATTTTTCAAAGACCTATTTGGGATAATCCCATGGAACATGTCCCAGAATAGATGAGCAGTCCTTGAAAGCTGGCTGATTTTCAAGATCACATCCTCCAAGCTAGAAAATGATCCAGTCTGACAAGCAGGAAAGCAATCCAAAGTGGCAGAAGGGCTTCATGGATAAACAAGAAGACCAAGGAAGCCTTATCCCCACTGAAGAGGTGGGGCAGAGAATAACTAAAAAAATCGTGCATGCACAAATCCTTGGACCTTAAGGAATTTGAGGGAATCTCCCTATAGAAAGAGGATTCTGTGTTCTGAGCAGTTCTTTCACCTTTTTGTGATGTATGAATGTAGTTTTTTCCTTCTGAAAAAAAAAATCTACTGAAAGCCAATTTACTCTTCTCAGTATAACCACTTCTCTAACCTTGCAAACACATTTCATAGCTGCAAGGTGATAGCATACTGTTCAGAGCTCAGCTTAAAACAAATACACACCTGGGCAAGAAATAGAAATCATAACTGTAAACAATTGAATACGTAAAGTAATCTAAAGCCAAAGTAAATAATTTATGAAATGTACATAGTTAACTACTATCTAATCAAGAATAAACCACAAACAGAAAAAAAGTGCAATAAATTAGTATCTCCTCAATAATAATTTGACTGGCCCTACATTTCAGCATTTCTTAGGGCCATATTGATATATTCATAAAATAAACATTATATTTACCAATTCTGATTATAAAAAAAAAAAAACAAACCTGAAAGCTGTCCTGAAACTCTATTATTTGTCATGTTTTGGGCTTTTTTTTTTTGATGCCAGGATCTGCTAATTAACTGGTGTTATATTTTTGTAAGAGATATCAATTTATCCAAGCTGCTGTTCCATTTCAAAGATCTCAGAATAAGATTCTTCACCTATTCAGTTGAAAGCTCACTATCCCACAGAGCCATTCTTTAATCACTTCAATGCATGCCTCCATAGAGAGCAGAAAGTGTTATTGACTTTATTAAGATACATTTCTTCTTCCAAACTGAAAGCTAATCCAGATTCAGAGTTCATTTTGCTTAGTTATATTAAAAGGTTATTTAATTTTTTATTTTTAATAAACCTTGAAAGTTTGAGTATTGTTGCTGCTGTATACTTTGATCAGTGGATTTGAAAAGGAGATCGTTGGCTATGGCTCTTATTTTCATTACATTCAGGCAATACTGGGTACAGTGGAGACCAAACTCATTTGGAGGCCTCTTAATGTCAAGATCAATCAATACATAAAAATTATAGAAAGAAAGAATTTATTATTAATAAACACACAAGTTGTAGTGAGAGAATTTTTTAATTATTATTTCTGTCCCTTACTTGCTCTGTGATTTTTACCTGAGGTCCTCTGTAAGGACTGAACAGGATTTTCTAAGAATTAGTGTGTCTTCCTCCAAAACATGTTTTTAAGTTGGGCTGGGTGACATAAATGTCCTCTTCTCAGCTGCAGATATACCTGTCCAGTGAATTTTGCTTTTCATGTACCAATAAGATACTTTTTTCCCGTATGACAGAGCAGATCTGTGAGCAGATGAAGGTGCTGCAGGCTGGCCATAATCCTATCCTCCTCTCTTAACCCCTATTAGATGGTTTTGAATTTATTCTTTACTTCTGGATCTGCTGCAACAGTCTAGTGAAAATTAAAAAAAAAACAAAACCAAAAAAAACCTTGGCAAAAAGAAAAGAAAAGAAAAGAAAAAAACTTTTAAATACAGGTCTTCATGCCAATTTATTTCACCCAGCAGAGTGGTTCAAAATGTGGAGAAGCCTGGGTAGGAAGTGATCAGCTATTGGAAAGCAGCATTAGTGACTGCTTTCTTAAATTCAGGACAACAAAATGCAGATCAAAGCTGCTTTAGCATGAATAGCCTGTCTGCTTCTAGCTTTGTAGGATACAGAGCTCCCCAATAGATTTAGGAGCTGTAGAAGCTGCAGGAGCTGTAGCAGCTTGGAAGTTCAGTAGCAGTTATTCAAGCCTAAGATGTTCTCACCATTTTACTGACTTGGCTCTTAATTTGTTTCCAAAACCTACAAATGTAGATTATATCTTGAGAAACTAGCAATTGAACTAGCAATTGGTATGGGTTCTGTTTTGGTTTTCTTGCAGACTGCAAAGAGCATTATTTTAATAAAATTCTGTTTTACATTAAAATTTCATTAAAATACATTTTTTCTATCCTTCTGGTGCACTGCTTCTGATCAATGGCATCCAAAAACTCACCTCACCCAAATGAAAGATTGATCTGATTCACATTTTCAGGAAAAGATATAATGAGTGATTTGTTGTGGCTTGAAAACTTGGATAGCAGGTTCCAAAATGAGCAATATTTATGGCTGTTTTACAAGCACTTAAAAAATAGAACGGAAATACCAATACAGCCTTGATTACCAAAGAGATTTTATGATATCTCCCTTTAGATTATAATGTCTTGAATTTAATGCATTTTAATGTTCCTAATTTTGAATTAGGAAGGAAAAGGAACTCATGACATTTGCACTGTGTGACTCTGCTATATGGAAACACACAGCATCTCATAATGGCTTAGATAGCAATAATAAATAAACAAAATTTGCCTTAAGCTATTTTTTTCTCATTTGTATGCACAAAGATGACACCAAATCACTTGTTTTCTCTCTGCAATGGTAAGAGAGTCCTTGTTTAAACTATGGTTCTTACAAAAGTCAGTTACCATTATCTTTCTAATAGTTTTTATCATATGTTTGCACTTCTGAATCCACAGCATCTCCTGTGTTTGCTGTTGAGATGCAGCTTAAAATTTGGACGCAAGTGGGTATTTACCTGTTCAGTAAAGAAACATAAAAAATCTTCCAACAGGTTAGGATATTCTGTATTGCACTTTGTTTTTGCATATCATAAAAAGCCCCACTGCTGGAAGCACAGTAAACAGGGATTTCTGTGTGAGACTTGATTGTGGTGGAGGATAAAGAAGTTCTTATATTTTGGGAATAAGGTTTTGTTGGTGGCAGTTTCTGTTGCTTAGTTGTTTATTAGGTTGCACGTCATCATTTGTAGGTTCACTGGTTTGATGGCTGTTCTTAATGGGATGTTCTAGTTATCATTTCTGGCTTTAGGGTAGTTTTGTATTTGAGTGAGGTGAAAGGTCAAAGGCCTTGTAGCCAAGGGAGTTAGGTTTACTGTCTTTAATATTCAGCTGTTGAAAAGGAGAGAAGAGTAACAGAAATGGAAGTGACTATTGACTGAGAGAGCCTGAAGAGCAGCAAGCTGCAGGACTGAGTCCGGTACTGATCCCTGGGGGGCATCACTGGTGACTGGACATCAACTGGATGAAGCATCATGGGCTTGGATGAGAAGATTCACTACAGTTCTTGGATGAAAAATTTCTAGTCTATGTATAAAAATGTAATTCAAATGAGTTTGAAAACAGCTAGGAGAAAAATAGAGAAGGAACTGCAAGCAGGTCAGAACCTCAAGGTACATAGTGTACTGCACAGCCAAACGCCCATACAAGGGGTGCTTCCCATAGAAACAAACACTTAAGGCCAAGGCAGAAGTAGAACTTGGATAACTGAGTAGTCTTCTATCTAAGGAACAGACAAAATGTTTTCTGTACTGAAGAGAGAAAATGAGGAACCAAGAAGAGAACATGGCAGGAAAGAAAACAAGAACAGAGGCTGGTTTCGTAAGAAGAGAAGAAAAGAAAATGGAAATAACTAAGGGTAAAGACTCTAGGAGAGAACAAGATGACAATGTATTAAAAGCAGAGAACATGAACAGAGGGTGAAGAGACCACAGAGAATCAGTATGACGGAAGATGAGTGGTGGAACACTTGCTCAGCGCTCAATAAAACGAAGTTTTCTTTGAGGATGACAGCTCCCTGAGATCCACGTCTATAAATGGAAGCTCAGAAGAGGTGTACAAGGGAGTGGGGAAAATTTGTGACTCACCTTCACATTGGAATCTTACCAGCTAACCTTGGCATCAAGCAAGCGATAGCTCAGGTGGTTTTTGGCTTTTGAAGGGGGTGAAGTTGTGAGATGATGATGCAATTAGATAGAGTGCATAAGATCTTGGGATATTTGGTCAATTCACTATTGGATTGGACATTAGACATTTACAAAGAAGGTGGTGCAAAGGTAACTCTGAATCCAAGGTTCACAGTTTCAAGAGGGAACCCAACATACTAAAGGAGTGAGTGAATGTAGTCAACCCAGACTGAGGAGCTTGGGAACTAATCACAAACAACCCTGGGAATTTCTTTCTGTCATAAGAATGCAAAAGCTCTGTCAGAAAGCTCTTTCTAAGCTAGAGTCAGCCCTTACAGATCCCAAAAAAAAAAAAAAAAAAAAAAAAAAGAGAGAAATGAACGGGGAACCTATATTTAGGAGAAAAACTAATGAGCAAATAAACCTGGCTTTTGCAAGGTAGTCATTACTGGTGTGAAAAGAATAGTGCTGGAAGTTCAACTAAGTTAGAGCTGGGAAAGGATATTAAAATGAATAGAGGAAAAATGTTTGCTTAGCTGTAAGAAACTTAGGTCAAGGAACTTTTGTCTAAAATGATCCTCCTGGTTTGATCAAAAAATAGTATTCTTTTTCACAGGCAGAGCAAGGATTATTTAATCTGACACAATGGAAGCTGAGAAGGGATATATGAACACTGTCTGCAAATACATCTGGGTGGAAAGGCACCACATAGGAATAAAAGGTCAGTCTGGATAATGAAGGAAAGTTTGTGACCATGAGAGTTTGAGGTTGTGGAAAGGACTTCAAGTGGGAATAAAATGGAGCTGGAACACTTTATGGATGAGATTATCAGAGTTATCTATCACAGCAGGAATTTCTGCTGGGTGATCTGGGAGTTTCCTTCCACTGCAATGTTACTTCTAATTTGAGGGCTAGCATAGCAAGCCTTTCTGCCAAGGAAGGGAGAGACAATTGTGAAAAAATGTTAATGACAGACATGAGAAGCATGACAGTGTTTTGAGAGTCTGGGTGCATAATTATTATAGGCTTATTATTAGCCAAGGTTTTTGGGGTCCATGTAGTTTTAAAACTCCCTTTAGTTGCAATTCAGCTGTGGCTTACAGCATAATATTTCTTTGGCTAGAAATGAAAATAGATACGTCTCAAGAAAACAGTGAGAATTTTTATTTCATCATATGAAAATACTTAGGATAAAAATAGACAAAGCAAAATTATTTAAATATAACCTCTTCTAACAGACTACCAAACCTTCATTCCCAAACGAAATTAAGTCAATTACATTTCTCCTTTTCCTTGGCTGAAAGCTTTTCAGGAATCTCTTAGAAGAGCATTAGTCTTGCTTCCTTTTTCTTTCTGCATGTCACTTTTTGCAGTGAAAATTGTACAATGATTGGAGACTACATCATATTGTTTCAGCTGTGGGATTGATCAGTAAAGTTTATTTACTGAGGTTTATAGCACAGAATAGACATATGTTCTGA